ACTCTGAAATTAAGTGGAATGACAAATCAAACACACCGGGTTGATTTAATTTAAAACTTTACTATAATTGTTGATAAAATTATACAGTTTTGTCATGTAGCTGTCGACTCTCAGCTGCATTATACAAAACAACATTATGCATATTGCATGGTACGGTACCTTACTTTCAATTCATAATATAACAAAATTGTGTACATATATATGCTGTTCGAATAATGTTGAATAATTTAAGTACGAAAATCCCTGGGGCTGCTGCAGGAATAGCTTTTAAATTAGCTTTTGGAAACACAACATTCCCCAACGTGTAGTTGTGTACTCCGACCCGGTACCGAACTTTATTGCCTAATGAACAAATGCGCCCGTCCTAAGGCCCACCGTGTATAAATAATTGTAATATATACATCCCACCTTTATTGGCGACAAAAATTCTAAACAAAAAATGTTCTGATTTATTCGAGTGATTATAAGTTATTATGATATATCGGCCATTCAACTCGAAATTCTATAACAAAGAATTTCTGCTAAAAGTAGCAGAAGGTAACTAAACAAGAGAAATAATAAAGATATTTTGAAGAGTAGTTTGATAAAATCTTGGCCCTGTTGATTGTATACAACGCACGTTGTAAGAAATAATAACGCATAAAACAAAATTTTGTATAAAATAAAGTTTAACAAAAAAAATGTTTGATTTTATGAAAATTAAACTTATAATCGTTAATGACGTAGCTGACTTGAATATTCATTGGACGGGAAAATCCTTTGATAAATCTTTTGTAATAATATGCCAAAGTCATAGATAGTACATAATAAGTTATGCTAATTTATATTGTTTTATATACGAATCGACAGTAAAAAAAAACCAAACAGAAGTTTGGCGCGCTTTCAATCTTTATTATTTTTGGCACGATCGCCGTGCAATTATTCAGAAAGTTAAGCAAAATCATTGAGCGTATTAAGATTGTACAACACAAATATATAAATACAGTATTACATTATATGCACTTAGGAAATAAGTTTAAGTTTTATTAACGCACCAACGACTAAAGTACTTGCGATGTGCAATAAACACAAGACTATCGAAGGGAACACAAAACACAATGTTTTTTTTAGCTCCTATGCGAAGCTGTTTTGACCTAGCCTAACCTATTGGGCTAATTTTTCCGTTATTAGCAAATCAGCCATCAAGGTGACATAGTCGGAATCGTATCACTGAGTTATTGGCGTTTGTCATGAGAGTTTAATTAAATTTTTTTTTTTTCAAACATAGTCGGAGGCCAGATTATCTCACAAACGTTTCGTCTTCATATTTATTATAACTATTATAATAGACGATAGTCGATTAACCGTGCGTATGATATAATCTGCGAACGACACCTCAGGTATAAATATTATGGTTGAGGCGCCTGGCGATGACGGCGACATGGCGACAACAGCGGGACGTCTCTGAAGACAAAATATCCTCTCTTCGGTGTACCGTCACACAATATTGTATTAAGCACACAACCTTTGCAGACTCTACGCATATTATTATTATTATTATCACTATTATTATATTGTGTGTTATTGTATTATTCGGTCATCGTACTGCTACGGGTGTGCTGCTCTCCACAATGGAACCCTATAAAGTAATGAATAGACTACATTTTACTAACAATGACCAAAATATACAACGCACCGGGTATAGGTATACCTCTTAAATTTATATTATGAACGGCGGATGAACTGTAGCAGACGAGGAAGTGTCGCCGGTCTCGTCCGAAAGACAAATTGGATCTCAGGTAACACAAGAGCGACCGCTCCCATTAAGAGCGTACTGCGTTTAATGGCGTCAGATTAGGCAGGTATGGTACAAACCAAGTATAGGATGGCCCGGTTCCCAACACAATACCCTGTTAATGTGGTCTGTTATCTACATTATGTTATGTTTTATATGCGGTTAGAGATATTAATATTATTGTTAAACCAAAAATTGTATTTTTAATTTGGCGCCAGAGATACAAGAGTTGTGCGGAACGACCCTTTAGTTTAAGAAAAAAATAGCTTAAATGATCTAAAAGGAGGACATAAGCTCTGTTTTGCTCTGGGCGTGAGTAACCTATTCTGCCACCTCTCCCTCCATTTATTACGGCCAGTTTGGCGTCTCTGGTGAACATAACCTTTCGATTGATAATTGTACTTTTAATTTGTTAAAACAACTAAATCACACAGCCCGATGCATATGTGATGCAACCGGCAACGAGTCATCGTCTTTCCTACGTTTAACGGCGAGGAAAACAAAACATTTGATAAAGAATTCACGAGCATATGTGATGTGTGTTTAATTTCACAACGGTATGTTCTTAGTACAAGGTTCTTGCTTAGATAAAACACAACCGAAAGCCGAGATAAATTGCGTGTCACTCATACTTGCGACCATTGAACTCCATTGCCACCGCCGTCGTCATCGCCGCCTTCGGCAAGTACAAGAGGAAAACCGTGTGCTTTATACACTCGAGAATGGCCCAACTAGGATATTTTTTTTATCCCTCGTCCGACTATGCTTTCTTTAGAGTGCCGGTCAAGTGCGCATATTATATGTTATTAAAATAATAACAAATAATAACGGCTTACCGTCTCGTTTCGCTTTTACACGTGAACAACTTACACGTACAACGTTAGTTTTAAATTAGACCTAAAAGGAGCGTAAAAAACGAAACGTCAAAACCAGAAGGCATTTTTTGTAGATCTACTATACACGCTATAGCGATGAACAAACAAGACAATAAACGAGGGGTCCAATTTTTTTTTTAACAAAATAAAACTCGTGTTTCACACGTTAGTTTTTACTATACAATATTCGTCTTAATATGTTTTCTAATAAGAAAACATTTTTTTTGGACACAAGACAAACGTGTGCACACCATTCACGCACAGACCGGGTTTTTGCCTTCGTGTTGAATGTGTGGGGAGGACTGAGGAGATTACAGCAGTTATACAAGCAGTAAACCAACATCAGCAGCAGATGCTGCACAGGACAAAATGATCATTATTGATGATTGAAAACGTTCGGCACACGTGTTACGAGCGCACTATGTATATGTATTTATACTATATATAATAAACATGACATATTCATTTGGACCCTTTTCACTAATAGTCGCTATATGTGTAACACTCGAATATTTAAAATACTGCCAATGTATTATGCTTGTTCGTGGGAGTATTTTTTATTATTTAATTTTTTCTCAAATAAATTATTTAATATCATTTTCCACGATAATGATTATTTATCGATAGTCACGGAAGGGAGGGATAGGTGAGCATGGTTAGCATGGTGGTACATGGCCGTGACATGGACATCTCATCAGAGGGTTAGATCTATCTAAATTTTTTAATATAAAAGTATATATATATACAATAAATAGCGCACAGTTGTAGGTATAATAATAATTATTAAACTACATAAAATAATATGACTACGGTGTAGTGTGTTGATTATAAGTTGTGTTCAAAGTACATTTGAATACACAAAAGGACAATTGTAAATACTTTTAAATTAATGTTAATTCATTTATTTAAATTGTACAAATCAAACTATGAATTGGGGCTGGTAATTAAAAAGGGTACTTAGTAATATATTAATAGTGAATAATATTTAAAAGCTATAGAACAAGTGTAGGCGAATCACAGGTGAATGGTTTACACTCGAGTACGATAAGTAAATAAACACTTGTACCTATTTAAATAATATTAATTATTTAATATCGTTTTGTTGTGTTTAAAAAGTTATTATTTGTCAAGTACTCAAGATGAAAATATACAAGTACAATTGTAACATACTTAAATACTTTTGAGAAGTATTTTTAAAAACACCAGCTTATTACTACTTAAGCTAGCAATTATTAAGAATGTACCTGGGAATGGTAATAGTTAGATAAAATGTACAATTTATTTACATCAATAGTATTTGACTATGAAATGATATTGAAAGCAGAGTTATTTTTGTTGCAAGTCGAATCGACAGAGATAGAGAGAACTGATTTTAAACTAGTTTAGTACAACAATAATATAAAAACCATTAGGGCCTTATTAAGACGCAGCGTTCAGTCTTTTGGTGTATGTACTACCGTAATAATAATATTATTATATTGTTATCATTTATCGTGCACGCCGGACCCGATGATGTTAACGACTTTTGACCAGGGAACCTATCACTAAATACATGTAATATTATATTTCATCAGTTAAAACAATATAGTGAATATATTTTTAAAAGAACGTGGACGACTCGCTGTAAAGTTTATTCAAAGTGAGATAAGTGAGGCTGAATGCCAGACCAATAAGGTCTTCTTTTCAGCGTTTAATACACCGTATTTGTTTAATATTATATTAAAATATTTATCACAGAACGACCATCGTGCGTTAGTGCATTGTTTAACGTCAGCATTTATGATTACATCAACAGACGGCTAAGTTCCATCATTATATCATTAGAGACGAATATAAAACATTAATTCATTATCTCGGTTTGCCTTAAAAAAAAAAAAAAAATAATAACCTATATTTAATCATACCACATTACTGCGTATAGTTTGTTCGTTATTTCTTTTATTAACTTATTTTTATAAACCGTGTGGATTATTATCGATAAAAATCGAAAAACAAGTGACCGACGAATACGGCTATTGCGAAATGAAAATAAATACCTAACCAAAGGCGTAGCTACTAGCTTATTATTATTATTATTATTATTTTAGTACCGGCTTTTTACTAAACAATATGTTCCGTCAAAAGAATAGTATGTATAATTATTTTTCGGAGAGTTGACAGAGTTAACGAACGGGTATTTTGGATGGAACTCAAGCCTCCCGACTATTATTAAATATAAATATAATATTATGTGTATACACATTTTCCCTTCTGCTCTCGCGGACCCATTTTTTATGCGGCATTTAAAACAAAATCGTTTTCTTAACGCGTATGGTATTTATTCATAAATAGTTTAAATTATTTCTGCTTACCTTGGGTATTGTAAATCGACTGTTTTGTGATAATTTCAAAATTCAACAACTAATCGTCTCCGTGATTCTGAGTTCTGTTGTGTATGTATATGGTTCTTGTTGGGCGATTATGAATTTGTCATGGGCTCATCACAGTCCACGGCGAAGATAATTGGGTTGTTACTGTTGCTACCGCTGCTGCTGCACTGGACGACAAGCGTACGTATACTGAAACGCGGCAGCCGCGCACTAGGGCTACAAGGGGCCACCGCCACCGCCTCTCGCACAGGCTCCATATTGATTTAATGCGCTCCAGGCGCACCAGTCCCACCTAATCCCGTGTGCGAAACGCCGTGTCGGATGGCTTATTATTATTATTATTTTTTTGTTTGCTCCTCCTCGTTTATTTTCTTCTTCCCCGTCTCACTCATACTTAGCTATATATATATATATATATATATATTTACACGGTACAGGGTGTGATTGGCCAACTGCGACCCGGCCACTTCGTATACACATTCCGAAATAGGTAGTAACCCGAATTTCCTCATTACCGGTGTGGAAAATCACTCGCGCCTGAAAGTAAAAAAAATTATTCGTCACGTAATTCTAATAAAACAAATCCACGAAATTCGAGAAAACACTCAACAAAATATATTATCTACTGCGTGGTTGATCGAAAACTAAAGAAAAAAACCCCAAAGAGAAAATAACTCTTAACAACTACATGTAAAAATAAATTATAACTATGTGACAGAGGAAAAATGTATAAAAAAAAATAAATAATAGATAATTTGACTAACAAACAATTGTATAATTTATTAAATTAAAAGTGTTCGCAGCAACTTTAAAAGTTAAAAAGTAAATTGAGCAAAGTCATACCGCCATTATTTAAGGAGTTAGCTATAGGCACTTTTTTGCAAAATCTTATTTTAAAGGTTAAATTGTGATGTGAATTTTAAGGAATTCAAAACAATTATAATTCTGAATTAAATCTAGTTGAAGTAGTGTTACTGGACACCCCATTCTTTCACGTTGTCCTGTCATTGTATTATATATTTTTTTCAAATTTACTTATTGTAACTAATATTACAGATTGTAAATATATTTTTAATAAATAAAAAAAAAAAAATTGTGATGTGTAATTATTAGTTCAGTAACTAGGACTCTTTTTGTGGTAGTTCATTTATTTTTCGGACTACCGCAGCATCCTTAACAACGATTTCAAAATTTGTTTTCATCTAAACAAAGCTACGCATATTCTCTATTAATGGTTAAATAATAATCGTAGACAATTGTTGCAGTATAATTAACTAATTAAAGGGATATTAAAATTGAAATTCTGTGAATAAAATACAATATAAATGTTAAAAACGATTGAAAAAATTGGCTGGGTCATACTTAGCTAACCCCCCGGTATATACGTGACTTTGGTCCTACATAAACCGTATTTTCGCGTCATCGTAACGTTTATCTCCCATCACTGCAAAGAATATATGTGCACATTTTGCTGGTAGTTTTTTTTAAGTCCAAATAGCAAATACATCATTCGAAACGTACCGGAACTCACACACACACACATATGTCATCCCGCAGGAGATATCGATTTTGGATTTTTTTTTTAATATATATATACCGGCGTAAGTACACAAACGTACATTTATACCGGGAGAGGCGTACCCAATAATACAGCTAAGGGAGAGATTGGTTCAAAGTTTGCTATACATGTATAAAGTGTATATAAAACAAGGTAAAAAAAAATAGGTTAAGCTGTAAATATTTTATTATAAACTTTCGTTTCATAACAGGTACTTGTATGTACACATAAATGAAATATATTATAATAAACTACCTCGGGTACGCCCTATAACTACAATACCCATAAACTTGTTAATGTATGCGGTATTTAGGCATATAAGCTTTATTTTTTTGTTCACATAAAGACATCGATTCAACTCGCATTATTGTGTTCTGTGAACGTGTATTTTGTATATCATGTAGAAATATTTATACACGGTCTTTTAAAAAACCGTCTGTTGCTCTATAGAAGGTTTTTTTCTATATTATACTAGTTGGCTATATTTTAAAACTTATTCGAAATAGTATTTAGTGTGTAGTGATTTCAAATAGCAAACCATTGCATTGATAACTGTTGACTATGACATTTCTTTTAAAATATGTTCAATCATATTAAAGTAGTTAAATTACTTTATTATACGTATTAACTCATATTTTCGTATAGAACCTATCAAAGCTGTTCGGGTGGGAATTTATCAAATGGAGGGAGTGACAGTTTTTGTTGTTGTTTGCCTTCCGCCGATGATGGTTATGATGGTTTTTTTTTTTTTTAATATTGTTCAGTGGCGTAACTATAAATATTTTATGGGAGAAGATTTTTAAATTATAATAATGTCAGAAACTTAAGCTATTCACATAATTCTCGATAAATCTAGTACAAGTTCAGAATTTTTGATAATATTGACCTTTTAGCCGCCACGAAAGTAATTCGTTTTTATTCTAATCTTAAATATTATAAAAACATAAAATAGCCAATTGATTGGTTTCGCACGGTATAAACAGAACTATTGCAAGGTCATAATTACATAAATTGAGAAATTAGTTTCCTAGGTAATGTTAAAAACTAATTAAAAATCGTCGTAATACTCTAAAGTTTAAATACATTTTACAACCAATCATTATTGTCCTTGACAATAGTTATTATATAAAAAACCTGTCATATATTTTATTTATACGTCCAAGCTAATACCGACGTAAGAGCCAAACTTCATATCCTAGACATCATAACTGACAACAAATCTGTCCGAGGAAAATAACATAATTGCATACCACAAAACTAACGTACATACGTACATTTCATAAAAAAATTATATACTACATAATTTGTATACGTACAATTAATTTTTATGTCTATCATCTTGCTGCAGAAAGGAATCACTTTTCGAGTCAATGTAGCATGCAGGGACAAATGAAACAGGCCATTTATATTACTATGTGGATGGAAGATGATATGTTAATATAATTTTGTTTTGACGCGTCATTACTCATTAGTCATAGGTTGTTTATCTTATTAGACACTGTACTTTGTGAGGATAATAAAAATGGAAATTATACCAATGTGACTGTATGAGTCTCGATCGTATCATTATATTATGTGTACAGGCAACAATAAAGCCTTAAAATTAATTATTGATTATTGTTTTATGTTGAGTGTATTCCAGAATGTTTTGCTTATTAGAGTCGTCGTGCATTCATAGTTCATAATATAATGAATTGAAAATTAAAAAAGGGTCATGGATATTGGGTTTAACAGTATAGATTTCTAAAATAAATACTAGGTCTTTACTCTTTATCGTTATGTTCGATCAAAATATGCATATGTATTGGAATTTAAATAAAAATCATTACACACGAGTTCAAATACCTATTCCTTTATTACGATGTGATAAGGAATATAATGAGAACATTAAAGAGATTTCACTGACATGAAATATCGCAATAGTTATAAGACGATTGTGTGCTTTTTGTTTTGTATAAATGTAATGGAAAAAGTTAAGGCGTGGTAATAATAAGAGAAACCTCTTTTATCTACAGTTTAGTCGACTATTAATATATTATTATGATGTTTAAATATTAGTAGTTTTATGTTTCATAGAATTTGTTTATTAACTTTTTTGTCTTAATATTAAAAGATTGCGGAGCTGCTAGGTAATATAATAGTAGTTAAATTTTACGGCACATACATGCGAATGTTCGCTAAAGTCTACTTCGATAATCAGCAATTAAGTAATAACTAGTACAAACATGACTAGGTTTTAAGTACATTTTCCTATGGTGTACCTATTTTTTTACTATTGTTTTAAATTTTCTAAAAATGGAAGCAACACGTTTTACGTGGACATTTTGTTTAAAAGTAAAATATTGCATAAATAATCGATATTTAACTGTTTAACTACGTACCTAATAGTTTTAACTATTTCAGTTCATAACGTCAATCTAATAAAAGTAAAAATATATTAGTAGTTAATGCCTTAATTTTGTATTTTAATATTCTTATGTTATCGTTATCGTTTGACTATTAAACTGTTCTGGTGCTATGTACCTACCTTAAATTTGTTTCTGAAATTAATTAATGTTTAAATGTATTGTATTATAATATAATAAATATAATTATAATATTTACGAAATATCATTAAAATATTGTTAAAACTATTTTTAAATTTGTCAATTTTTAATAAAATAGAATAGTTATAGTTTATAAAGATAAAAGAAACTAAAAAAATGAAAGAATCAGTTTATAAACAGTTTAGAGTAGATTTCTATTTGCTTAAGTCAAAATATTTATGTATTAAATAATTTTCCATCGGAACAATAAGGAATAATATAAGGTAAGCTAAACGTATATTTTCGAATAATTAAACAAATTTTGAAATGCATAGTAACTATATTACATTATTATGTAATGTTTATTCCACTGTTGAAATTTGAATCTATACAATTTTAATGAAATTCAAAGAAGTGTCGAACCAAATATGCATAAAAGCGTTTTAAAGCTATTTTATGCATTATCTACCTAATATTTTCCAGTAAGGAGTTATTGTTGATTTTGCATAATGTAATCAGCGGATGATATCATATGTAAGTAAGGCAAATACAATGGTACTTCAAAATTTGTATTATTCTTTTTGCCTCGTTAAATAAAGGTAGTATTAAAACAATACTACATAATAGTAAAACAATTTTAATATAATTTTTGTGTAATAAATTAGTGGTTTTTATATCGGTGCGAAATTATCAGAACCTGAATAAAATATTTGAAAAAAAAATCGAGTAGATATTACATGTAAATTACTTGTCAAGTCAGCTTTTCTAATATAAATGTGAAACGTAATCAACTAAGTTTAACTGTGTATTTTTTAAGTTTTTTACTTTTATATTTAATAGGGAAAATTGTCCAAACTTATTATCATTTCAAATACACTATTGTTTTATAAGTGTTAAAACTTTGAGCATAAAAGGGGGTTGGATAGATAAAAAATCTTATAAAGTTGACCTAACTTCAAAAAAAAATTAAAAACAAAAGTAAAAAATGTCTATATCCGTAACGAAGTTAGAACAATTATTTTCTAAAATCGACTTAAGTAATAAAATTACTGAACATAATATAGTTCATATCACATATGTATTTTATGAATATACAATTTTAACAATGTTACTAATATTTCTAA